AAGATTTATTTTATTTATTTGCAAGAGTTACAAAGAGAGGTAGAGACAGAGAGAAAGATCTTCCCTCCGTTGGCTCACTCCCCAGTTGGCTGCAACGGCCAGAGCTGCACAGATCCGAAGCCGGGAGGCAGGAACTTCTTGAGGATCTCCCACGCAGGTGCAGGAGCCCAAACACTTGGGCCATCTTCCACTGCTTTCTCAGGCCACAGCAGGGAGCTGGATCAGAAGAGGAGCAGCCGGGACTAGAACCAGCGCCCATATGGGATGCTGGCTTCAGGCCAGGGCTGTGCCACAGGGCTGACCCCATCCTAGAATTTTATATATATATATATATATATACACACACATTGACAGGCAGAGTTAGACAGTGAGAGAGAGAGAGACAGAGAGAAAGGACTCCTTCCATTGGTTCACTCCCCAAATGGCCGCTACGGCCAGTGCGCTGTGCCGATCCGAAGCCAGGAGCCAGGTGCTTCCTCCTGGTCTCCCATGCGGGTGCAGGGCCCAAGGACTTGGGCCATCCTCCACTGCCTTCCCAGGCCACAGCAGAGAGCTGGCCTGGAAGAGGAGCAACCGGGACAGAACCAGCGCCCCAACCGGGACTAGAACCTGGAGTGCCTGCACCGTTTAACACCAATGAGATAATTTATTTTTTTTTTTTAGACTTCTCCTATGAGTGAGATCATGTGCTATTTCTTTTTCTGAACCTGTTTTATTTCACTTAGCATAATGACCTCCAGTTCCATTCATGTTGTTGCAAATGACAAAATTTCACCTATTTGTAGCTGATTACTATTCCACTGTATATGTACCAGTTTCTTCATCAATTCACCAGTTGATGGACACTTAGGTTGTTTTCAACATAAAACATGGGGGTGCAGATGTCTCTTTGAAAGATAGATTTCATTTCCCTTGGATAAGTACCCAGGAGTGGATTATTGGGTCAAATGGTAGTTCTGTTTTTAGTTTTTTTAAGGAATTGCAGAATTCTTATGTTAATAATAGAAACTAGGACAGATGTTCAGCACAGCAGTTAAGATGCTGGTGAGGATGCCTGCACCCCTTCTCTGAGTACCTCAGTTCAGGCCTTGGCTCCAGTTTTGATGTCAGCTTCCTGCTAATGTGCACTCTGGTAATAACTCAAGTACTTGGGTCCTTGCCACGTTGGAAACTAGTTGCTTTCCTGTGATTTTATGTGTAAATTTACAACCAGCCCATTCAGGACAGAGCTTTTGGCCTAGAATTCTAACTCAGTTTCCTACTGGTATGTAACCTTAGTGGGGGTTACCCGACCTCTTCAGGTCTGTGTCCTCCTTTGTAAAGATGGTTGATAACACTTAGCTTTCTGTTTCGTTGAGAAAAGAGAATAGGTTTCGATAAATATACTGTTGCCTCTTACCAGGAGTGTGAATGTGAGCAATGAATCTCACAAATTCTCTGTTTCCCTGTCTATTCAACAAGCATGAATTAATTCAACAAATATCTTTGAACACCTAATAAGCACCAGGAATTCTTAAACTTTTTTTATTTATTTCCTTTCATCTACTTGAAGGGCAGAGAGAGAGAAATCTTCCATCTACTGGTTCACTCCCTAAATGTCAGCAATCTCCAGGGTGGGACCAGGCTGAAGCCAGGGACCCAGAGCTCCATCTGGGTCTCCCCAATGTGTGGCAGTGGTGCATGTACTTGGGCCACCATCTGCTGCCTCCTAACATGCATTAGCAGGAAGTTGGATTGGAGACTGCAACTGGCACTCCAACATAGGATGCAGGCATCTCAAGGGGTAGCTTAACCCACTGTACCACAATGCCTGCCTAGAACCAGAGATTTATATAATAAGACAGATGAGTATATACATAAATGTCTGTGTGTGTGTGTGTGTGTGTGTATGTATTCCAAAATTAAATAAAGTACAAGAAGCTAGAAAGCACAAAGACAAAAGAGAAGCACATTTCCATCTGGGAGTTAAAATGAAGGTTCTGGTGCAGAAGACATGTGAATGAGTCTTAAAATAGGAATAAATTCTAACCATATGATAAAATTTGAGGAAGGATTTCTGGATAACAGGAGAGAAAAGAGGTAGGGTAAGTGTGAGACGGTATAGATTTTATAGGAACACTCTGACAGCAAGCTGCTATTTGATAAAGCTTAGAATAGCACAACAATGATGAAAATGAAACTGAAGACTAAAGTATAGCTAAAGGCTAGAGGGAGCTTTGACGTATGTTATAGATACTCTGAATGGTTTTAAACAAGGAGGCAACATAGAAATCACTATAGCTAAAGTATGCAGAGTCTGTAGAAGGGGTAAGAGGTGGGCATTAAAGGAGAAAAGGATCAAATAAGAAGGCTGTGGCATTCATCAAAGTAGGAATGATGCTCTGAGTAACACAGTTGTGGTACACATGAGAGAAGGCTTAAGAAATATTTCGGATGTAAAATAGGCAAATCTTAGTGACTGACTAGATGTGAAGTTGAATGAGAAGGGAGCACCAAAGTGGATATCTAGGGTCTCTGGCCATTCACTGAAGCTGCAAATCTAAGAGAAGAGACAGCTTTGGAGTAGAGGAATATATAAGGAATTCAGTTCATAACATGCTGGGCTTGGTATTGCAGTCAGACACCTCCAGCAATCAAATGGATAAGTGAGCTTAGAGAGATAAGAACTGAAGACAGAGATTTTTAGGTTTCTATAAAATACTGCCTACCTTCCAAGATGAGACTAGGAATTAAATTAGAGAGTGTGTGTGTGTAAAGTGTCTAATGCTACAGTGTACCATAAATAACATAAATCAGGTGGTGTATTTAGGTACCTCACTCAATAAATGTAATTTCAACTTGTATTTTATCCTGGGCAAAATTATCAAACCAATCTCTGTATTTAAATAGAGGCTGAAGTTAAATCCACAGTTTAACCTATTGGATCTCCTTGCGTTTAAAGAAACATTAATAAGCTGACTGTCAATCTTTCAGTTATTTCTTCTCTAATCACTGAACTATTAAGGAGTCAGCTTAATGGTGCATCCTTCACCAGCTGGAAGCAAACAGTCATCTGCCCTCTTGCCACTTTTATTAAATGCCTTTAGGTAAAAAGGATCCTTTCTTGGAGGCGTAAAACTCATCCTAACATAAAGCTTAGAACTTATTGTTTTAGAGATTTATTTATTTTATTAGAAAGGCAGAGTTATAGGGTCAAGGGGTGGGGGACATAGAAAGAGAGAGAGATCTTCCATCCGTTGGCTTTCCCACCAAATGGCCACAACCACTGGAGCTGGGCTGGGAGGAAGCCAGGAGTTTCTTCTGGGTCTCGCACGTGACTGCAGGGGCCTAAGCACTTGGGCTGTCTTCTACTACCTTCCCCAGCACATTAGCAGGGAGCTGGATGGGAAGCAGAGCAGCTGGAATGGACCTTATCCCCATATGGGAGCCAGAGTGGCAGGCGGCAGCTTAACCTGCTAAACCACAGCAACCGCCCCAGAATCATAATTTTTAAACCTATCAATGGAAAAGTGAAATGCAATATTACTTGGAAGCTGTTTATTCAGGTTTAAATTCTGACTAAGGAATCCAAGTCCTGATAAGGTTAAGAGGAGGAAAAGGTGGAGGAAGATGGGAGAAATGACTACTTTTCCTATTCTCATTGCAGTTTTCCCAAAACTTCTTCCTCAAGATCATAGAAAGTGAATGCCCACCAACACAGTTCAGAAATATGGATCTTTCTGTTAATCACTCTTAGGTGACTTTATATAACTGCTTTTTTAAATTTTTCCTTTATAAGCCACCTAAAAAAGCTTATATTTGATATTTATTTCTAATGATAAATATCTTTAAAAAATCATGAAAACGCTATCTCTAAGTTTTGACTTACACCAATTTATACAATTATTTTTGCAATGTTCAGAATATAATTGGATCAGCTGATACCATATACACCTGCCACAGTTTTAGAGAATTAAATTTGCTCATTGTCGTGTTCTAATTATAGAGATCATTAGGCCATGGACTGTTGGAGTGGCTGTGAATTGATAATGGATCACACTGCTTCCAGAGGTGTGAGAACTCTTGTCCTTCAATGTTAAGCATGATTTTGTTTCTCAATATGAAGTAGAACAATCTTTTCCTTAATATTAAACTACTCTTGAAAGAGAAGCAGTGTGTGGCATTATGCTTCCTGCTCCACGTGTGCACATTTGCATTAGCAGAAAATTCCTCTATGTGATTGACAAAAATCCCCAAAGATACACTGTTGGCTTTCTAGATATAAAAACTGATTTACTCCTAGCTGAAAATCATTAAGATCATAATTTTATAGTAAATAATGTTGGGCAAATGACTATTACAGCAATATTTTGTGAACCGTTAAATTAATGGATATTATATTTTTGAAACATATCACTGTTTAATTTTCGTATTGCCTATATACTGCCATAGAAAACATCTCACTTATGATCCCTTAGTTCTCCTAGGAAAAACAAGAAAGTCATTGTCTTAAAATGGAAGAATTGTTCCTCAAGAGTAAGTGGGCTGTGAAAGGCCATTTCTGCTCTGTTAAGAAGGTGGTACTAACATAGCGTTCAGTGTACTATCTCCCTCTTGGATTACAATTGAAAATAAGTAGTAAGAGAAGAATGAGATTCCTTTATGGTTAGAGGAATGCAGCTTTACTCATTAAGAATTTGTTGACTATAAGTCTTAGAAACTCCCGGAACTCAGAAAATGCTATTACTTCCCATATGGAACGATGGAAGAAGAGTCAAATTCCCAAAGCCAGGAGGAAGTCCCATAGCATTTTTCAAAACCACTCAAGCTACATGATCTTATAATATTTTATTCATAAGCATCCAAGCAATTCCAACTAGAATCTCACTCACCTAGGTCACCAGCAACTCCAAATCAGCCAAGTTGTCTACACTCTTTTTTGTTTAAGATCTTGATTATAATTCTAATAAAAACATTCTCTCTTTACCTTCCTTCAGTTTTGCACGAAATATATATCATACCTCTGCCAGCCTGTAACCAGGATTGTCTTCTTAAGAACGAGAATCTGTGAAATATCCACAGCTCCATCTTGCCCAACACTTAGTGTGTGGTGACAAAATCCATTGAAGTCCCATACCTTTAACAGAAGAATTGAACCACTTTTGAGACAAGGAAAGAAAATGTCTTCTTCAATTAATAAAAAACCATGATTAAATAGGATTGTTTTAATCTTTCATGTTTGCATTCTGATCTGGGATATATTCACTCAGGATACCTAATAATTGAGGGAAATGCTCTCATCATTTGAATTTAGCCATTACATTTATTACTCTTATAGTACATGAAGGACATTTCAAAAGGTACATGGAGAATAGAATCCAAAGAGAAGTTTATTTTGGTGCAACAAATTTGAAATCCATACAATGCTTTTTCAAAAAGCTCATTTTCCATGAACCTTTTGAGGACCCGCTATGTGTATAGATTTTGAAATTTTTGCACAAACATAATCTTATATTCTATTTTTCCACGAACTTTTTGAAGTATCCATATGTACTCAATATTTGGAATCTCCTAAAACCCTTGAAATCTCTTCACTCTATTAATGGTTTCCCTTGCCGTGTAGAAGATTTTTGGTTTCATATAATCCCATTTGTCAATTTTTGGTTTTCCTGCTTTAGGGGTTTTTTCCAAAAAATATTTTCTCAGGTCAATGTCTTCAAGAATTTTTCCTGTGTTTTAACAGTTTTATAATTTTAGCACTTATATTTAAGTTTTTGGCCCATTTTGAGTTGGTTTTTGTATATGGAGAGAAATAGGGGTCTAGTTTTAGTATTTTACCTATAGATACCTAATTTTCCTGCTACCATTTGTTGAAGAGACTGTCTGTTGCCCGGTTTTTCATAGTGCCTTTGTCAATCAATTTGCTATAAATATTTGGGCTTATTTGTAGGGTCTCTATTCTGTTCCACTCATTTATGTACATGCTTTTATGCCAGTGCCATGCTATTTTGTAGTATGTTTCTGAAATTTGGTATTATGATGCTTTCTCCTTTGTTCTTTTTGTTAAGAATCACTTTGGCTAACTTGGGGTCATCTGTGGTTTCATACGCATTTAGGAGTTTTCTATTTCTATGAGTAATGCCATTGGTAATTTGATAGAAATTGCGTTAAATCCATGGATTGCTTTGGGTAGTATGGACAAATGTGTGTTTATTAGAAGGAGACAATATAAGATCATGAAGAGGCCGGCGCTGCGGCTCAATAAGCTAATCCTCCACCTGCGGCGCCGGCACACCGGGTTCTAGTCCCAGTCGGGGTGCCAGATTCTGTCCCGGTTCCTCCTCTTCCAGGCCAGCTCTCTGCTGTGGCCTGGGAGTGCAGTGGAGGATGGCCCAAGTCCTTGGGCCCTGCACCCCATGGGAGACCAGGAGGAAACACCTGGCTCCTGGCTTTGGATCAGCGCGATGCGCCGGCGGCAGCAGCCATTGGCGGGTGAACCAACGGCAAAAGGAAGACCTTTCTCTCTGTCTCTCTGTCTCTCTCTCTCTCACTGTCCACTCTACCTGTCAAAAAAAAAAAAAAAAAAAAAAGATCATGAAGAGCCGCATTTTGGAGTATGTGTGCCCCTTGATATTTCTGTTTCTTCATTTCTGATGTAGTCATGTTACTCTTAGAGAAACTCAAATGACTGACCGTCTCATAAAGCATCTGAAACATAGTTTTCATGAATTAGATTTTCCATATTATGCCAATAAAACCTCCTGTTGATAGTGGGTGCCAGACCCATCTCTGCAGGGGATACAAGCAGTTCTACATTACCTCCTCAGGCTGTGGGATAAGTATGAGGACACATAGGGTATACTTTACGAGAACGCATCATTAGATCACTAGCAGTTAATCCTAAGCCCTACTATGAACGTCATTGCCACATTATGTGGAGAGGGCAAGTTGGCACTACATCACAAGTAAAATACACGTAATACTTTCTACCACAAAAAAAAATCAACATATAGAAAATCATCCTACAGATAACACATATGTGTGAAATGTTATATGCATTGTTTACAAAAGTTAAACATTTGTATAACCCTAATTTCTCATTAGTAAAAGACTGAACATAACAATATGGAATATCTGTGAAGTAGCACACAATGTAGATATTATGAAAAATGAATCATTTCCATGTTTCTAGTCTATGCTAAAATTGAAACAGCTATGGACCCTTGAGCCAACTGCTTCACATCTTTAGGATTCAGTTTTCTCATATGCAAAATCAAGATATTAAAAGTACCAACTTTGGGGCAGGCATCTGGCCTGCTTTTAAAGATGCATTTGCCCAGGGCCATTGCAGTGGCATAGCAGGTCAAGCCACCACATACAATACCAACATCTCATATGGCAGCACAGGCTTCTGTCCTAACTGTTCCAGTTCTGATCCAGGCCCTGCTGATGGCTTGGAAAAAGCAGCAGAAGGTGGCACAAGTATTTGGGTCCCTGACACCCATGTGGGAGATCTGGATGACGCTCCTGGCTCCTGGCTCCTGGCTCCTGGCTGCAGTCTTCGATCTGGCCCAGTCCTGGTTGTGGCAGCCGTCTGGGGAGTGAATCAGTGATCTCCTTCTCTCTCTCTCTCTCTCTCTCTCTCTCTCTCTCTCTCTCTCTCTCTCCTCCCCTCTTTCTATATAACTCTGACTTTCAAATAAATAAACAAATCTTTCAAAAAAAACTGCCAATTGCCATGTGTTCCATATCAGAGGTCCTGAGCCCAAGCCCTGACTCTGTTTCCAATTCAAGTTTCCTGTTCATGTGCACCCTGGGAGGCAGCAGGTGATGATTCAGGTAATTGTGTCCTTGCCATCAGATGGGAGACCTGGATTGAATTCCAAATTCCTCATTCAGTCTAGCCTAACTCCAGCTGTTGCAGCCACTTGGGGAGTGAGCCAGCAGATATTGGAAGCTTCTCTATCTCTCTGTATCACTCTCTTTCTCTTTCTCCATCTCTCTCTGCTTCTCAAGTAAATTAAACATATTTTTATAGTCCCAACCTCATAATGGTAAATGTATGTGCATGTGCGTGTGTGTGTGTGTGTGTGTGTGTACAAAGTGCCTAGCACAATGCTTGTATCATAGTGAGATGCAATAAAAATTCGGTAACATTATTCTTATTTTATTTCATACATTCATCAACAGCATATAGAGTGGATGATGAGTACAAAATAAACCATTCTTATATGCTAAAAGGATGCACAAAAAACCAGTAACGGTGATAGCCTTAGGGGATGAGCTGAGAACAGGGGTGAGAGAGAGATTTTCTTTTTACTGCATATTTCTTTTTTATTTCACAATTTTTATGGTGTGTATATATTAATTATTTAAAACATTAATTTAAAAGCAGACTCCTCATATCCTTGATAAATAGGACAATAATTTTTAAGTCTTTAATTACACAGGTACTGATTTTGGATTCTTAATTATAAATGACATTGGAAAATGTCATTCATTCTTGCTTCTTCACAGAAATTCAGAGCAGCCCAACCCTGATTTATGTCTTATGCAGAGGCTGCCAGATTTCAGAATGCTGTTGTGCTATTGTGATATAGGTAAATGCAGCTTCAAAAGTAGTGATTACACTACTAAATCCATATAACTTCTATGATACCAAGGCTTTAGTTGAGATTTGAGGGTGCATGTCTCCCCATCACAGTTTTCCTCTAAACATACCACATAACAAGATTACTTCAGTCTCACGAAGACCTGACAGCACCCAGATCCTACTAACTCAGTTGGCTGGAAACATTTTAGCAACATCCGCAAGTTTCAGCTTACTCTCAACTCTGTAGTTACTTATCAAGATAGAGCTAAATGGTATACTTTCTTACTAGTATACTTTCTTCAACTCCTTGCCAGTCCATATCTCATTCTGTTAACTTTCAGAGAGGCCAAGTTCTACTGATTCCAGAGATTCTAACTTCATCTCACCATGGCACCTGTCTCACACTTGAATCCCCCTACATCCTTGAGCTCAACTCCTACGGTGTTCAAACTACATATCCCTGGGAGTTTCCATTATGTCCTCCTGCAGCTTACCAGAATGCATCACACACACCCCTTCATGGAAGTTAGTCTAATACATTTCTGATCCCAATGTACAGACTTGAAAATGACCCAAAGTTCATTCAAGAAACCACCTCTGTTGCCTCATAGTGTCTCACACCATCTCAGTGAGTGATGCTCATGACTCTCAGGGCCGGAGGGAGATAAGCCTCCAAAGTGGGCCTGACTTCAGGTAGCAAGTTTCAGGCCATGCATGAAAATTTGATCATTTTGCCAAGTAAAGTATCACCCTCCACCCAGGAGAAATGAATGATCATTCAAAATAAGAAAACTAGAAGCATGAAACAGTGTTAGTCTAGGATGAATAATAAATAAGATTATGATTGTTCCTTCTACCATTCCTCTTCCTTATCTCACATGCTTTCACGTAACAAAAATGTCAATTATCAACAAAGTCTTCTTTTAAGTACTCATTTTCTGGAAAATTTTCTTAAAAAATTGCATCTATGCCATTTGTCAAGTTTACATTAAGTTGTTCTGATTTCTCGTTTCACAAATGTAGAAAAAAGAAAACTAGAGAAATTAACTGAAACACATGAAAAAAATTCAGGCTTCTTATTCCCCAAAGTAGTCCCCTATTCAGTACATGGAAAAAGGCTTTCTGAAATAAGTAAGCCAAGTTGTGCTTTTATTTTAAATAATTTATTCAGAAAAATCATTTATTCATTTTCCATAGAGGTTTACTTTCCTACCGGCTTTGTTATTAGATGGTTGTTTAGCCCTTATCTTGTCTCATCTGTCATCTTGCAAGGCCAAAAAGGCAAAAAAACACGAGTATCTATAGCTGTGTCTCCTCACACAGTATTTTAGCCTCCATATATCTGGGTAGAAAAAGCATCACTGTGTTCACACCTTTACAGTCCCATCTGTGCTGCCAGTCAAAAGCCGTGTCTCATTTGCATCAAGGGCCATAGAGCTGATTTCTGCATTGCCATGGCAACCAGTAAACTGTTTGATTTTCTGCCCAGTGTCTACCATCCAGAAGGAAACAGTGGACCCCACATCAGAGCTGATTACCTAAGAGAAAATAACATGGTAGAGAAATTAAATATGGTCCCAGGATCAACCATTTTTATTGCAATGAAAATATCTAACTTGTGCATTTCTACTACCAAGATTCCCCCAACAGTTAGAGACATTTTTATGATGTATTTTGTTTCCTTTTGTTAAGCTGATAACATTTCAATTTCTAGGCCAGGGCTGAGATAATGAAGTCATGATCCTGTTTATCAGAAAAGATGGGAATTTGTTTGCCTTCCCCACTATTCGGTTTAGCATCTAGAGGCCATCTTGAAACCAAATCCTACTGCAAATAAACATACAAATATTTTTTACATTTAGATAAGAAAGCTGATTTTTCTTATCATGCTGCATTGACACTATTTGCTGTATGGAAAGAAACATTTTATTGTATATCAGCTTCAATGTAGCAATCAGAAAAGGAGCACTACCAGCCATTATGAGAAAAAGTTAATTTCAACAAATTACTAGAGTCATTGCTTTTAATGCCATTAGTCCCTTGTGTTCCCTTTTCTCAAGGTACTCTGTATATTTTACAGCTTAGCATAATTATTGATGGGTCACTAAAAACAAAGAACACAGGTTCAATATAAATCTGCATATCACTTCAAGAGGAAAGCAGCAAAACAAATGCCAGAAGGGGTAGTATTATATATAACAGTCTGAAAATGAGACATTCTATAGTGGCAAGTAGCATGCTGATTTCAGCTCTTGATATTTAAGAAGTCTTTAAAGAATGTATAGGTCAAAAGCATGTGGCAATCATCACATCAGAAATCAAAACAATGGAAGAAAAAATAATAGGCAAAAAGTGTATAGACAGGAAGTATCTGAAACATGATTCATATTTTAAGTAATCAAAAACATTTCTTTTTCTGCTTAAGAACTGATTTTCACTGTACAAATGCGAATTGTTGAATCTGAATGCAGTTCCATAATCAAATGGGTTGAAACTTATCAAATGTATTTAGAAGAACTGAATAGCTGACCATTGTGTATGCACACATTCATTCATTCATTCATCCATCCTATGGCCATTTATTGAGCTTTCACTCTGTGGCAGTCTCCAGAGTGCCACACCGAAGAAATCTCTGCTCTCAAGGAGTCTATTATCTAAACCTATTCAATAAAACAACCTGAGGGGCCAGTGTTGTGGTGTGGTGGGTTAAGCCACTGCCTGCAACACCAGCATCCCCTATGGCACCAGTTCAAGTCCCGACTGCTCCACTTCCAATCCAGAATGTGCCTAGGAAAGCAGCAGAAAACGGTTGCTGTTGGTTGGTTTTTGAAGACGCCTCTGGCACCATGTGAAGAAAAAATTGAGATTTCAGGAAGATCATTTGAAGGCTGTTATAATAATCCAGGTAACTGATTCTTATCTAACACAGTAGTTTTAGAGACAAAAGGAGAAAAATTGAAAAACATTCATTCTTTAGTAACATTTATGCCTCAGAAAACAGTTCTCTTGTAGCTCTTTTTTACTCTAAAATTGCAACACTGATGAGACAGTTTCTTAGATGACATAAAACTATATTTATGCTACACATTTTCTATAACTGAAATCAGAAGTATCTTAAATATTTAATTACCATGTTTAAGCTATGGTGCAATTTCTAAGACAAATGACCTGAACCTTTGAATTAATGTGATCCAAGACCTTAAATATCATTGCTTGTAGCTGACTCTGTTTCTATTTCATTTTGCTGGTGCAACACACATGATGGTTAAGAACATTGGGAACCTGGAACCAGGACATCGAAATCTGAATGTCAGTTGCCTTACAAACTAGTTTGTCTGACTTTGGTCATTAAGGTCAAGTACAATGCTTACTTGCTCTAAGCATCAATTTCTTCACCTGTAACCCAGAGATAATCATAGTAACTGCCTTAAACCACTGTTAGGAAATTTAAATAAGCTGGTATTTGTAAAGCACTTACCACAGTGGGTGACAAAGCCATAAATAACCACAAGAGTTAGTTGGGGTTACTATTCTATCTAAGCTTTATTTGCCTGACTTCTTATTTAGAGTATTATCACTTTGCATATTCAAATCAATTTAAGAAAAATAATATCTTGCTTTCTTCCAACAATGACTGTGGATGTAAATAATTACAGCTCTAGGAGCCAAATTTCAGATATTATTTGAATTTTCAAATTATATGATACTTATGAATCCCTCACATAATGGTTTAACAATTTGGATTATATTCATTAAAAGCAAAACCATGAAAACACATAATTTTCTAAGCATGTATGGAAATTTTGATAGTGGTCTTTTAAGAAAAGATTAAAAGTTATGAAAGATTTTATTTTTCTATTAAAAAAATTTATTGTGCAGCAATAGGCATTTTAATACTAAAAGAAGGGTATTCCCTAATGCATACCAAGAGGACAAAAATGAAATAAAGCCATGTTCAAAGAAAAGCCCTGCTTCCCTGTTCAAAGGCTGATGTCACCCACATTACAAATCACCCAATAATTTACCCACCTTGTATCTAACACAGACATTCAATAAGGAATCAGTAACGGTCACTACTTCCAGCTCTGCACACTCTTTCCCCTGTCCACCTGGCTGAGCCCCAACATACTATTCATCACTTTTCATCACCTTTCTCTGCTCATTGAACAATTTCTCATGAAATCTAAATCAACAGTGACAACAGCCTATAGCCCATCTGATTTCATTCAATGGCAACCTGCCTTCCACGGCAGTCTTTGGGGAAACAATGTGCAGACACTATTACAAGCCTCCAGCCATTAGTCAACAACCAGAATCTGGTAATCTTGGAATACAAGAAAATGGTCCGACTACAGGACAGGGAAGACTTCGTGTTTAGCAAGCTGATCTTTTTATCAGGAATAACCGACGCCATCATATTTATATGCCGTGATTTGATGATACCATCCCTGCCTCTCTTTTCAGACCGTATCTTAGCCAGTGAAGATGAAGAGGAGGGGGCCCTGGCAGTCTATGGAGCAGAACTGCCACTGATCTAATGATGGCACTCCAGTGCCTATGGGCCTGGGGAACAGCTCCCTGTTCCAGTGGGGACATACTCTTCCGTGTACTTGAGTTAATAACTGTTTAGGAATGTGTGGGTCCTTTTTGTCTGTCTCATCTGAAGCTGTCACAGCTAATCAGACAATTGTAAGAGATGTGAGGCTGGAGCTGTGTCACCTAATTGTCCTCTTGCTATTCTGACAGCAGTAGGCGTTAAGAGTCGACTTTTAATGCATCCTGAGTCCTTGGTCTAAGCAAGAACAGGAATCAAAAAGTGTAAGAGTGGATGGCACTGGCTACCATGGAATGAGGGTATTTGATTTAAATACTACTTATGGATTATTTTTTAAGTCAATGCTGTTTATGGTCCCATAAAATAAAATGGAGCCAGCATCATGGCATAACAGGTAAAGCCAGTTACTGTAATACCTATATCCCATATGGATACCGATTCAAATGTGGGATGCTCCACTTCCAAACCAGCTCCCTGCTAATTGCCTGGGAAATCAGTGGGAGATGGCCCAAGTCTCTGGGCCCCTGCATCCACAAGGGAGACCCAGAAGAAGCTCCTGGCTCCTAGCTTCAGTTTGGCTCAGCCCTAGCTGTTGTGGCCATCTGGGGATGGCATATTGATCTCTCTCTCTCTCTCTCTCTCACTTCCTTTCTCTTTCTGTTGTGTGTGTGTGTGTCTCCTGCCCCCTGTAACTCTGCCTTTCAAATAAATAAAATAAATCTTTTTTAAAAAGTTTACTTCTTTTATTTCCATTTGGTGTCAAAACACCAGAGGTTGCTACCCAGCAAGTGAGGCAGTGAGGAGGATGATAAAATCTCACAGTGCTGGTGCAGATCCAGGATCCCAGTACTTTGAGGTAGTCATTCTCCATTCACAAGTCTTGTCCATCAGATCTCACTCCTTCTTAGTTGAACTGGTAATTTGCACTTTCAAGTTTAGTCCTTGAATTTATTGACCATCACTAAAATGCAAAACCTTGGATCTAGGCCCTGGAATACAGCCATGAAAACTTCCTGCTCTTTTATTTTGCCAGAGGACAGACAGAACTGCATGAGGGAAAAAAAGAAAGAAAGAAAAGTAAGAGAGGGGTGGGGGGAGATAAATGCATCTGGGAAGAAAGCAATGTTAAAGGCGAGTGCAAAACTGAAAATGAGGCCCTGGGAAGTGCTCCCTGAGGGATCATGTGAGGAAACATGGCTGGGATACAGGAGTGAACCACTGCAGGACCTGCCAGCAAAGGAAACAGCAATGCAAAGGCCCTGAGGTAGAGCGTCCTAGGCCTCTTCAAGGAGTGGAAAGGAGGTCAGCGAGGTAATGGAGGGTGACATCCATTTGCTGTGAGTGCCTGCGGCCAGAGGACAGGAATCCAAACATTCCAGAAACATGCAGCTACCACAGAACCAAAGAAAAAAAATTTTTTTTTAAATCACTTCCCTCTTTTCTGGCTAATATTTATTTAGCTTTTATCCTTGCTTTGGTCTATGTATCTTTTTATGCAATATCTTTTGCCCTTAAGAGAAACTGTACAAGGGAGGTCCTATAATTCCCATTTTAAATATACAGGAAAGTTGAAGCTTAGGGAAATAAACTGGCCAGCAATTTATAAAAGATTGGAATTGCTACCTGACTGTAAGATCTCACTAACTCCCTCATTCTCAAAAGTGACTGGGATGGGGCCCATGCTGTGCAGCAGTGGGTTAAAGCCCCAATCTGACATCTCACATGGGCTCTGGTTTGAGTCTCGGCAGTTCCACTTCCGATCCAGCTCTCTGGTGTGGCCTGGGAAAGCAGTCCAAGATGGCCCAAGTCTTTGGGCCCCTGAAACCCTCATGGGAGACCCAGAAGAAGCTCCTGGTTCAGATCGGTGCAGCTCCAGCCACTGCAGCCATCTCGGGAGTGAACCACCAGATAGAAGACCTTTTCTCTCTCTCTCTCTCTCTCTCTCTCTCTCTCTCTCTGCCTCTGCCTCTCCCTCTCTCTAAT